CAATGCTTGTAGGCTTGTCTCCAAAGAGAACTCTCTTTATCCTTGTACATAAAGTATGCAGAACCTGAATTTTATCATGAGTTACTTCTTAATTCTCTAACAATTTCAGCTACCTGTTCCTCTTTCATTCTCCCTTAACTTCAATAGTGTTCCTTCTTTGTCATATACTCTTTTTATAAGAATTTGACTCTTGCTAAAACTCAATAAAATGAAGATACTATAAAACATGGCTATCCTTCTCATATTAATCTATTCTGGTTACAGAAGAATTCTCCCTTTACTGCTGAGAAAGAGAAAATACCTCCTGAAATCTAGGAACTTGTCTTGTACTATCAGCTAGTCCTTGTCTTACTATGAACAAGCTGCATTCAAAGGGAGGCCTTGGCATTTTCCTGTTGAACTAAGCAATTTCACTGAATACCAATATTAGACAAGGCCATTCTTTAACCATGACAGATCAAGACAAAAGCAAATTTGTAATCATGTCTTGACAAAGATAAAGTATGAACCTTGTCCAAGCCACCCCTTATCCTAATGAGTGACAGCTGCTTTTTTACTGATTATAGTTTTAGCCTTGCTCTATCTAATCTGCCCTCCCTATAGATGAGATTTATTAATATTCTCAATCACAGAATTACTCCTACTTCTTGATAGCATTCCATCCATAGCAAACCCTCATATTCTTAAACCTTCTTCCAATCACCAAGTACAAGCCCAAATCCTATAATAAGTCTTTTAGCACCCCCTGAGACTCCCCTTCCATCCCCATGGCTCAATCACATGTAATCCTGGTGATCTCTGTTTGGAGGGCATCAACACTCCTCCAATGCCCTAAATGTACAATATAAGTTAATAGTGGCTCCTTACTTAGTGGTTTCTGTATTTTAAAGGCTAAGGTAATTAAATAGCACAGAATGTAATAATGAGTTCCAGTCAAAACAGGCTAAAGGAGAAACTGCAAACTCAGATGATTATATTGGCTAGGGGATAACAGGTGTATGTATGGTTTGGATCAGTTATAACACAGTCAATGTTAAGGCCTATGGCAAGGCACAGTGACTGCACACCCCACTTATAGTCTTCATTAACAACACACCTAGCAGTGACCAGTGATCACCAGCCTACATTTTTTAAGTTCCATGTCAGTTTAACACACGGTTTTTCTTCTTTCATTATCTTAAATAAGCTGATTTATTAAAACAGCTGAACTTAAACATTAACTATTAAGCAAATTAGCAATTTTAGAAATTTTAAAACACAGAGAAAAATAGTGACTTCCCCAGCAATCTATAATTTCCCTTGTAATCAATGTAACTTCTTTGAACTTAAAGTGAAGAGGCTTTTCCAACATTTTGTCCCCAATCATCAGATTTTCTCAGGTTCAAGGAACTGCTTTCTGTACTGACCCACAAACTTTCAACCCATTTTTTCTGGACTTTTGGACTCGATTTTTAAAAAAAGGCCTAATTAACCTCTCTAGCATTCCCATATCAGACAGAAAGATCTGAGCTACTCTTTCTGGTTTCTTTGCCTTACAATTTCTAGCTTTTAATCAGTGTGCTTATATAGAGAGAATTAACAACTAGATAGTCTTCATTTCTTTTCTCTCTCCTCTCCTTCAGTTTTCTCTATCAACCCCTTTGGCAAATTGTTTTAATCATCATCCCCTACTGGTCTTCTCAAGAAGACAGTCCATTTGAACACCATGGATGATAATTTCTCTAACACCAGCTGCTATCTGCAATGGCTTGGAATAGCAGTTTGGTGAGTTTTTCATTTCTTTAAAAAGCTAACAACAAATCAAAACTTTAGACATGAAAGGAAAGAGCAAATTAAGACTCATAAATTAACACTCTAGTTTTATCATAGAATATAAATGATAAAAAAAGAATTCCATACAAAATGAAGACAAATATTAATACCTCAAATTTATATACATCCTATACATAGACTAGTCCCCAATTTGGTCGCCAGTCTCATGAGGCAAGACAGGAAGTGGTAATATTGATAATAATATGTATAGTCTAACCGAGAATGAGATTAATTCCCCAATATATCCACAGGGCAAATAAACAGAGAAGCATCGATTAGAGTACAATTCTTCTTTTTCCTAAATAAATGTTTTAATCACTAAACCATGTTACTTGCCAGTTGAAAAACACTGGAAGAAATATGTGAAAGATCAGAAACTAAGAAAATGTGAAAGTAAAAATCCTAAAACAAGTGCTTTTAAATAAATACAGCTTGCTGAAACACTAATAAAGTATGCTACAATGTTTCCTGCCTCCTTCCAAGCAGGGCATGTAGATAATAAATATGAAAACAGCATCTGGTATATTAAGATATACTAGAATATTATTAGATTGAACTGATAAAAACACCTAAAAGGTAAAATAGTAGAGCTTGGATACAAGATTAAAGCATCTTATGCAAGATTTAACATGATGAGATGTTGTAATAGAGAAAAAATTTAGGGGTAGTTCAATTTTCTCATTCAGAATATAAGATGAAACTCCCATCCATCTCTAACACAGTGGTCATCTTAATACTAAATGTAATTTTAATACTTCCAAAATCTGATAAACACTACTTTCTGTTAGTGTGCTATCCTTTCTTTTAAGCAAGTTGTTACTTAATCAAATACGCAACTAGCAAAACTCAAATTTCTCATAACCAACCACATCAACTATAATATGCATGCTATTTTCTTGTTTTCAGTAACGTAGCTGGAGTTCCCTGGTTGCCTAGAGGTTAGAATTCTAGGCTTTCACTGCCGTGGCTCAGGTTAAATCTCTGGTCAGGGAACTGAGACCCCACAAGCCACAAGGCACAGCCAATACATAAATAAATAACATAGACTTGCATAAACATACACTTTAGGGTTACATATTACAAGTTAATTAAAATAATCTCAACTCTCTAAAAGTAAAGTGGGTTAATTACATCAGTTGTAATGATGACTATCAGATTAAGAATTAGGAATACAAGAATTTTTATCAGTCAAGGTAATGGTTCTGACATTATCATAGTTTCTTGTCTCTCCTCACTAGCTTTTTTCACCATCAATGAAATGCGGTTGCATTTAGACATCAGTTTAAGACCAAAAAGAGAAAAAAAGAAACAAGGAGACAAGTAAAAGGCAAGGGACTGATTCTGCCGTTTAAAAAACAGATGAGATCACATAGAGAAGAAAAGAACAGATAAATCAACTTAATTTTTAATGAAAATAAATTGTAAGGTTTTGTTGGCAACAATTACTAAAGCCATTCTCTTTCAGGGCAGAATATTTAAGTGCTTATCCTAAATCTTTTGGTCACATAGAAATTATCTCCAACTCCTCAAAAACACAAGCTGACACAATTGTACAAAGCAGGCTTTCAATATAAGCAAGAAGGAACTGCTGAAACTAGAATGAAAAAAAAGAGAAACACTACAGTTCAATAGGTTGTCTTAACTCAAACACATTATTCTTCAAGAAGTTGCATGAAAGTCTAAGATATTAATTTAATGATGCTGCAGGGATATAATTGCACCATTCTCAATTTAGAGTAATAAGTCTGGAGTGAGTGCATTTTCAGGAGGATATATGTAAGCGTGCTCATTATTGAGCCAAGTAATAGTTTCCTATCATGAAGACTAGTTACATGGGCTACTAGCCGTTCCCAGGTGCATAGAGTTTTATCAATAACACCCAGATTATTTCAGGTCTCTTTCCTTACACCTTAACATCTCTCATTTTAAAAGACCAAAAAGTAGAAAAGATACCCCTTTGGAGTGGAAGGTTACACTTGATGACTTCTAATGTCACAACAGTTCCGAAGTTCTATAACGCTACTTAACTGTCAGCATATGCAGAGCACAATGTAATGGATCAAGTTCATTTACTTTGGAATTTATCAAGCAATACTTGCCAATCTATTAAACACAAGGAATGGAACAAATTTCAAACTGCCCTTAAAGAGAAGTTTCAAGCTGAGGAAATTTATTTAACCTAAAATAAAATCATGAGAAGAAAACTCGCACAAATTAAAAACCAACTGACCCGAACTTCACAAAAATGACAGTATCACAAAAACATGGGCAAACTGTTCTTGGTTTTGAAAGATCAAAGAGACACAACTGAATGCTATATGTGATCTTTAACTTGAAGGTGGGAGTAGGGTGAGCAAATAGCTAAAAAGGGCATTATTAGGCAACAGGGAAAATGTGATGTCAAATTTCTTGAGCGTGATAATGATATTGTGGTTATGTATAAAGGATTTCCTTGCTCTTGGGAAATGCTTATTCCAATATTATTCCAATATATTGGAATATATGCTCATTCTAAAATTTTCAAGTGTCTACTTCTCTCTCCCTCCAAGGTAAGCACTTAACATTTTGGAATATATCTTCCATACTTTCTTCAACGTTTATCAAACTAAACAAACAAAACCAAGACTGTGTGCCCAGGAGAACAGTGACCATGTCATTTTACTTTTCATGATTAATTGTAATCCAACTCCTAATAAAGTATTTGGCACAGAGTGGTCTCTCAATAAATATTTGTTTATGTTCAATTCGTTTATGTTGCACAACTTTTTTTTTTAACCTTTACCACTACACTGTGAATATTTTATGTCAGTACTGATGGAGCTACATTACACTCCACTCTTATGGATGCATCAAATTATGTAATCAACAACAGACATTACAGTTAGTTGTTACTAGTTTCTCACCATCACAAACAGGGCTGTAAATATATATTAAAAAAACAGATATAAGGATATATAAATATGTACATGCATTTACCCACAGCATTTTAATTAAACAGTCATTTCAAATTGTTTATACTTACTCTCTGCCTTTAAGTTCTCATAGATCATTTATATATATATGAAAGCTAATTATGGTAGTACATTACAATCTGACTTTTTAATTCTATCTTTTTATTTGCTAAAACACAATAGAAATTTTAATAACATGTTCCCAAGTACAAAAAGTTAGGGGGAAAAAAGTCTTACCATTCTTGCTGACATCCAGTTCCCTGAGATTAATGAGATTTGCAATAGATGCTGGTAATGTTGTTAAATCATTATCTGGCAAACTCAGTTTGTGTAGAGACTGACAGTTAAAAAGTTGCTGTTGAAACAAGGTAGAGAAGGATTTTGATTATTACTTAAGTTTCCTTAAATATTTCATTTATTAACCTTTACACAAACAAATATTATTAATGTCATTAAAACTGAATGAGTTATACCTACACAAATACCAGGTAAGATCTCTTATTATTTTATGCTATTATGGATCTGAACACAATTGGACTATTCAGAATGATTTATATCCTCACACTTCTGCCCTGGGTGAAATGCACTTAGTGAAAATAAGTATATGGTGTATTTTCTGCTAAGGTCATAAAAAATAAGTGGCTGTTAAATATGGTAAACTTTGGATCCTGTATTCCAAAGCATCCTTATTCCAAAATGAAAGTTTATATAAATTAAATTCAAATATGTACAACTGATTTTAAATGACTTAAAATATAGAATTCTGATTTGGGAGCACAAAATAAATAAGGGAGCAAATATACTGTTATGCTAAAATCACAATAATGAAATGTGATCAAAATATATTTAACCAAAAGCAGTAAGTAAATGGGCTACTTCTAAGCCCCATACCAAAAAACTGTACAGAGCATAGAGGATTTTTAGGGCACTGAAAATACTCTGTTTGACAGCATAATGATGAATACGTGTCGTTATATATTTGTCCAAACCCACAGAATGCACAACACCAAGAGCAAATCATAATGTAAACTATGAACTTTGGGTGATTATGATTTTTCAACATAGGTTCATCGGTTTTAACTACTCTGGTGGTTTAACCACTCTGTACCACTCTGGTGGGGGATGCTGATAAGAGTGGAGGTCATCCATGTGTGGGGACAGGGTATGTATTTGGGAAATCTCTGTACCTTCCTCTTAATTTTGCTGTGAATCTAAAATTATTCCAAAAAAGAAGACTCTTTAGAAAAAAACAAAACTATGCACAGGATGGCACTGAATAAGTCCTATTTAAGAAGAGCATTCTTCCAAAAATGGAAAATTGCTAGGCATGATAAGTGATTCAGTTATTTTCACTATCATAGCAAGCCTCTCTTTTCAACACAGTCCCCAGACTGAGACCTTGCTGGTGGTGATTAGAAAAAGGGACTAATTTTAGTCTTCCATTTTCTCTAGGAGAACTAGCTAAGGAAGATAAATTACTTTGCTGAAAAACAATATACAAGGGAACAGTCAATTACAAAGCACCCTATTACAACTTAGGGGAGAAATTCATGAACATGCAACCCACAACCTTTAATATTTTATCCACATCTATATACAGATTTCTTTATAAGACAATCTTGGATAGCACTGCTTTCAAAATGATTTTACTACTGGCCACCCAAAGAAAACCTTTTTCAAAACACTGCTGCCGGGCTTCCCTGGTGGCGCAGTGGTTGAGAGTCCGCCTGCTGATGCAGGGGACACGGGTTCGTGCCCCGGTCCGGGAAGATCCCACATGCCGCGGAGCAGCTGGGCCCGTGAGCCATGGCCGCTGAGCCTGCGCGTCCGGAGCCTGTGCTCCGCAACGGGAGAGGCCACAACAGTGAGAGGCCCGCATACCGCAACAAACAAACAAACAAAAAAACACTGCTGCCATCCAGTATGTATGTATACACACACACAAATCTAAAACAAATACTTTAAGTTACAATAGATACATGCAACCCTCTTTATTTTCTACTCTATTAGAGTTAAGGTTGCCAGATAAAATACAAGATGCCTGATTAAACTTGGATTTCGGATAAACAATAATTTTTTAGTGAAAGTATGTCCTATATACTGCATGAGATACACTTATACTAAAAAATTATTCACTGTTTATCTGAAAAGCGTAATTTAATTGGGTATCCTGTTATTTTTTATTTTCTAAATCTGCCAGTCCAAATAATAGTTCATTATTTGGAAATGCCCCATATATTAAATTGATTTTTATGAGCCACTAATGAGTCTTCACCCACAGCTTGAAAACCACTGCTGTGTGGGTGGTAAAGCTCTCTGACAAAACTATGGTAGCTTTCCGCGCAACAGTAAGAAACTGAGTAGAGGATGAAGACGGGTTAGAATTTAAGGGAAAAAAAAGTAGCCGCCACTAAAAAATTTTAGCAAAGAAGTTGTTAATGTGAGATGATGTTTCATGGCAACAAACCTATTTTCTCCTGCTAGTTGCTCCTACATTTCAGAAACGTTAAGTCCTCCAAAACTTTTCCAAATAAACCGAAATGGGGAAAACAGAATACTACCTCTACAAAGCTGTTAAAAAGCGAAATTCTGATGTGATAACTGAAAGGACAATTTACCCTCAATAACTATAATGTAGATCAATGTCTTAGGAAAACTAGAAAAACATTAATTTCAATTCTTTGTCTAGTTAAATCTACTGGCTGCAGAAATTGTGCAGTCTTATTGTCTACCTTAGTGGCTAAAGTACTGGAATTAAATACAAAATTTTAAATTATTTGCACAAGTATTTAAGCAATTAACTTGAAGAGATAAAGGTTAAAAATTCTATCTAAAAAAATTTGAGTCATGTTGCACACCCTAAGGTGAAATTAAATCAAAAAAAGGGGAAACAATGCACATATATATATATGTAGCATTATGGCAACATTGGGAATATCATATTTCTAGGCATAAAAATAAGCAAAGGCAATTCTTGGAAGACTGGATTAACATACCTTTGGAAGCTCTTCAATCTGATTAGCATCTAAGTAGAGCTCCTCCAGAGTTTTTTCAAAAGTAAAAATCTCTTTGGGAACCTGTTCCAAACTGCAATGAGAATAATCAAGAGTAGTGACGGTCTCCTCTTCTCCTCGTAGACAACGACATGGTACCAACCGCACAAACAAACTTCGTTTTGTAGTCATTTTTAGACACTGCAATATACAAACAAAACTAAATTTAGTAAAAACATGTATTATAACAATTTTTCAAAACAAATTATTCCAATTCAATTCTCACAGTTTACATATCACAGATAAATATCTCCTCCCCAACACACTAAATAGAATGCATTTAACATTGCTTTATTATCAAATTTTATATATAGTGAAGTTCAAATTAAACTCAAGCACTTCTGTACTTCACAAAATGATCCATTAAGTAACCAATTATATACTTCTATAAGCATATAGACCCACCTCCCAGAGTAATGAAAGTAAAAACAAAGATAAACAAATAGGACCTAATGAAACTTAAAAGCTTTAGCAGAACAAAGGAAACCATATCGAAAAGACAATCCTCAGAATGGGAGAAAATATTTGCAAAGGAAGCAACGGACAAAGGATTAATCTCCAAAATATACAAACAGCTCATGGAGCTCAATATCAAAAAAACAAACTAATCAAAAAATGGGCAGAAGACTTAAATAAACATCTCTCCAAGGAGGACATACAGATGGCCTATGGGTACGTGAAGGATGCTCAACACCACTAATTATTAGAGAAATGCAAATCAAATCTACAATGAGGTGGGACTTCCCTGGTGGCGCAGTGGTTAAGAATATGCCTGCCAATGCAGGGGACACGGGTTCGAGCCCTGCTGTGGGAAGATCCCACATGCCGTGGAGTCACTAAGCCCGTGCACCATAACTACTGAGCCTGCGCTCTACAGCCTGCGAGCCACAACTACTGAAGCCCACATGCCACAACTACTGAAGCCCACAGGCCTAGAGTCTGTACTCTGCAACAAGAGAAGCCACCACAATGAGAAGCCTGGGCACCACAACGAAGAGTAGCCCCCGCTTGCCACAACTAGAAAAAGCCTGTGTGCAGCAACAAAGACCCAATGCAGCCAAAAATTAATTAATTAAAAAAAAAAAAAACTACAATGAGGTATCACCTCACACTGGTCAGAATGGTCAGCATCAGAAAATCTACAAACAACAAATGCTGGAGAGGGTGTGGAGAAAAGGGAACCCAACTGTGGAGAACACTATAGAGGTTCCTTAAAAAACTAAAAATAGAACTACCATATGACCCAGCAATGCCACTACTAGGCATATACCCTGAGAAAACCATAATTCAAAAGGACACATGTACCCCAATGTTCACTGCAGCACTATTTACAATAGCCAGGACATGGAAACAACCTAAATGTCCAATGACAGATGAACAGATAAAGAAGATGTGGTACATGTATACAATGGAATATTACTCAGCCATAAAATGGAATGAAATTAGGTCATTTGTAGAGATGTGGATGGACCTAGAGTCTGTCTTACAGAGTGCAGTAAGCCAGAAAGAGAAAAACAAATATCGTACATTAACACATATATGTGGAATCTAGAAAATGGTACAGATGAACCTATTAGCAGGGCAGGAATGAGACAAAGACGTAGAGAATGGACATGTGGACATGGGGGTGGGAAACGGAGGGTGGGATGAATTGGGAGATTAGGATTGACATATATACACTACCATGCGTAAAACAGACAGCTAGTGGGAACACGCTATAAAGCACAGAAAGCTCAGCTCAGTGTTCTGTGATGTCCTTAGATGGGTGGGATGGGGGGGTGGTGGGAGGGAGGTCCAAGAGGGAGGGGATATATGTATACATATAGCTAATACACTTCGTTGTACAGCAGAAAATAACACAACACTGTAAAGCAATTATAAGCTAATTTAAAAAAAAATTTTTTTAAAAAGAAACATGCTTTATTAGTCTGCTCATCCTCAACAAGAAAAACCCTAATACAACAAAGATATTTCTTTAATTTCTGACTAAGAGCTGTTTCTCAATTAAGAACTTGACTCTATGTAGTTCTGAGTAGAAAGTGGGAGTGCAAAGATATTTTCAGGTCTTTTAACCAGCCATTAACTTTCCTGTAACTCTCCCACATCAAAATTCCAATCTATGCCAAGTATATTTTGTTTCAATTCATATTGTTCTTTTAATTTTTCTAAAGTTTATAGGTCTTATATGTGTATTAAGTTTACACAATAGAGAAGAAATTTGCTCCAGTAAAGTGCAGACTTCATTATTTCGATCTAATTGGGGGGAAAGGCTCAATTCTGAATTAGTGAAAATTCTCAAGGCTAATTTTATTAAGAACACAACGTTCATACAGAGATTAATTCCAACTAGGAGGCTAACATTATACTACCAAAGAAAAGCCTACATCAATAAATGATTGCTAATTAATGTTATCAATTCTTTGTAAAAGAATAATAAATTCTTGCCCTAAGCAGAAGACTCTATTAGAGTATTAGATTACTTCTACCCAGAGCCAAGGCTAGGTTGAAGCCAGTGCAGCAAATGTCTCAGGCACACACACACAAAAACTGAGTAATCAAATTAAATATTTTAATGCAATATCTTTTTAAAAAATCCAAATCACTGAAAAATAATCCATTAATGACCAAAATGGTAAATTTAAAAATAAAGACAGAATCAGTATGACTAATTTTTTTTCTTTTGCCTCAGGCTCCAATATGGCTCTGCAAGGCACTGCTTCTAACTCTTCTAATTATACCATATTCTTAAAGAGTTTGACAATAGGATAAGTATTTCCCTTGCAATTAAAAAAAAAAATCTGACTATTCTTACTTACCATGTGTGCCAGGCACTGTGCTAAATTCTTTATATAAACTGTATGTTTCAGGACATCTCAAGTGAAAACTTCCTCAAAAAAACAGAAGAAAACTGCCCCCCCAAAAACAAAAGAAAACAAAACTTCCTGTGGACAGAGACAGTGGAAAGAGCAACTTAGACCTTAGAATAAATTCAGTGGGCCTGAACCAATACAAAAATGGATCCCAATTTAGACTAAAAACTTCTGATTGATAAGAAAGGACGGGGGCCTTAATCATTGAGGTCAGAAGAAGAAAGTACCATATGAAAGGGAATGAATAACAAGACCCAAAGAGATCCTCCCTTTCACAATACTACAAAGAAGTAATAAACCAAAGGGAGAAAGACTGGCCTGATCGGAACAGGAAGTGATCAACATGGGACCGCTAATTAGAATTTTAGTGTTGTGATATAAGAGCCACTTAGAAATCAGACTTAAAACGGCAGACACAAAAACATTCTAATCAAATGGAGGAAGAGAAGCCAACCAAAAAAAAAAAAAAGGCATAATAACTCATTTTCTAACAAAAGAAATTAAAACTACTTACCACTGGGTTGAATTTATCTCCCTGATGTTTCTTAATTGAGCCAACATTCTATGGAAACCATAAAAAGAAACAAAATTAACAATAAAAATAGATCTTTATGACTTTAAGGAATATCTCTTCTAATTTCTTATTTACCTCAAAATGTAAATTAAAATTCTCAATAATTCAGCCCCATAAACTGACACACACAAATTTGCTAACTTCTAAATACATGGCTACCTTCTCCACCAGTCACTGAATTTACTGTTCATAATACATTTGTAAACTATTGAGAGCCTTCATCTATATCAAATAATAAATACCTCTCTATCTACCATTAAAACCCCATTTATTTGCGCTTACTGAAAAATAATAAAGTTTTCCCAAGCAAATAAACTCTAATCACCAATTATATTTAAATTTAGTAATTTTTGATGGTTCTATGCAGCAGACACTGTTAATTGCTTATCAGTCTTTTCCCCCTTTCCAGAATTTTCCTTATTCAGGGTGGTAATAGACCCAGCTAAAAACCCACTTTTGAGCCTTCCAAGAAGGGTGAACAGGTAATGGATGACACAGTTAAGATCAATGACATATACTTAGAAGTCTCCTTTGGGGGTGGGATAGGGGTTGGTCCTGGAAAAACATTTGCTTTCCTTATCCAGGGACAGATGTGAACATGTCTACTACTATCCTATGACCATGAGTCAGCAAGCATGAGGATTAAAAACCTACCAAAAAGGCTGACAGAGTAGAAAGACAAAACAAGCTGGGGGTCTCTAATAGCACAGTTGAGTAGCTGAACTACAGAAATATCTGGATTTCTTGGTTTATAAGAAAACTAAACCCCTATTTGCTTAAACCATTGCTAGGTTTTCTGTACCTGTAACCAACACATTCCAAAATAAGACAGCCCAAAACCCAAAATAACAGCATTAATGTATATACATCATAAATAATCTTTTTTTAAAGATAGTAATAAGTGTGTTTCAGAATTTACAGGGTCACTTTAAATATATTGGGCTATATGTCTCTATGTTAAATTGTTTAGGACTGCTGAGTTGTTTAACCTTCTCCACAAATTCCACCCATAGTACATGCCACAAAAAATACCTTTGCATATACCAAGCAAAGATGGCCACTTAATCTGTTGCTCAAGGTACTCCCACATACATAGTAGTCTGGTAAAATGGCATTGCCAATGAACTGAGATGGAATAAGGCTACAGAAGGAGCAGGTTACAGAGAAGAGAGAAGGAAGTTTGTGTTTAGAGACTTTAGCTTGAAATACCTGAAAGCTGTCCTACTGCGATCCTACATAGGCAGTTGGATATGGGTATTCAGAGATGTGGAGAGAAATCCAAACTGAGGATATAAATTTATAAGTTATCTGTTTAGAGTTGACATTTAAAGTAATGAAATTAGATGAAAAAATCAAGGGCATGAATGTGGACAGAAGAGTACAGGTTCAAAAAAGAAAGAAGAAGGGAAGGAAGGAAGGGAGGGAAGAAAACAGAGTCAATGACTGAGCCCTGAGATATTATAAAAATAGGTCATAAAGAAGAAATAGAATATTGAAGAGAAGCAGTCAGTGAGTCAAGAGAAACTACCCCCCAACCACCCACCCAAAGTGTGATATCCTAAAAGCTAAATGGAAAAAAATGTTTCAAGGAGGAAGTTATCAACTATGTTAGTAAGAACTTTAATTGTCACTGTGTAATAATGTAAAGGTCACTGATTATCTTACTGGGCAGTGGTAGAGACAAAACACTGCTTGGAGGGGATTCAAGAAATAGGAAGAGGATAATTTGACATAGCAAATACAGGCAACTCAGGTAGTTTCGCTAACAAAGACATTGGAAAAATAGAGCAGTAGAGAGAGCAGAATGTGAATCAAGAGTCACAGCAGTGGATTTGTAGGCAGATGCGAATAATCTAGCAAGGGAAAGA